CTCATAAAAGCCCGCGGGTGAATTACACCGTGGGCCCTGGTGTCATGACACCGCACGGTGTTTTCCACCGGCGGTCTTGTGAAATTCACCGCGCGGTGAATTTGGGGTGTTTTACACCGAGGTAACACCGGATGGTGTAATACACCGGTAGACCCGCTGTTTTTTAACAGCGCGTTGTATTATACCGCAGGCCGCGGTGCAAAACACCGCGGAACAGCTGGAGCGGCGGCGTTGACACTCTGGGTGTCGCGCGCCTCTGCGGAGGGGCTGGCCAACGATGAATTTGAAGGGCAACACCCTGACCACAACGTGTAAGCGCACTTGGCTAAGGCGTTGCTTTGAGAGCCTGCAGGAGCATCTACTTTGCTCCTGTATGCGGCACCATGCAGGATATCTGCTGCTGCAGCTGGCTAGCAGCCAATGCTATCTGATACATGGCGGCGCTCAGCGCAGCACCCTGCTTGATGAGCAGGCTGCTTGGCAAGCAGCACAGGCAGGCAGCTGGTGTCCCACTGCGGCTCTTCTGGGACGGCAGCAGCCACCTCCCCCTTTCTGCCTCACAGTATTACGCAAGTGCGCTAGGGAATACGTCATTTGCTTTGTGCATCCTGCTGCTTGCCGCACACTTGCCACTGCACACCCTGGCTGAGATGGTGACGGCGGAGGGTTGACTACGACTTCAGTGTAGTTGAAGTGCCCCTTCATAATAACATGCGATCAGCATACCTCTGTGGCATCCTTTAATCCCTTTGTGGCACCTGGTCGCTTCCACGCTGGGGGCATCGCCTCACACAGTGGGTGGCGCACAGTGATCTCAGTGACTGCATGAACAACCGACTTCTGTTGTGAGTGTTACGTTGCTGTACCAGTACGGTACTCGTACAACGTTGGCATCGGCAATGTTATCTTATGCAGATGCTTCGTCTGTTCAAACTTACAACAGCATCCAGAGAGCAACCGCATCCGGGACATGCCTGTGGTGTCTGATCCAGCTGATCGAGGCTCGCGAAGACTAATGGCAGCTTTTTGTATCTGTTTTTCGCGCAAGTATGTCTATGCAGGGGCGCCGACCACCAGACATCGAATCCAGGCGAATAGCGGAAGCCTGCTCGGCCCCGGTGGCTCGAGCTTATGGGCAACTGCCGCTGTGCCTTCTCATACAGCAGCATCGT